TTACTTATACAAGATTTTTGTTAGGATTTTTCTAGAATGCCTATAACAATTATGTCTTAAAGCTTGATCTTGCCAACTTTGCCAAAGTTAGTAGACATTTATTGAGTTTTCTACTTTTTTCTAGATTTGTCTAAATTCCTCAAGATAAGTGTGCATTAAATGTTCGCCAAAAAAAAAAAGTGCATTAAATTTAACATAAATTATCTGACAGAGAATCTAAACCACTTGACCCTGGAGGCAAAGTACGTAGGAACTTTGTGCAAGCAAAAGTCATATATAACGATAAAATACAAACTCATTTTCCACACATTATTAACTAGTAGCCTCTTTCGCGTATGCGAGAGGCCTTTTTCAAAAAAATTTAAATTTATTTTAGAATTAAAATAGATAATGAGTAATTGTGTTGCATAAAAATAGGATCTTCTACTGTCTTATTTTTCTTTTAATTTTAATTTTTAAAAATATGAAAAAGTGTGAATTTACCATATTATCCTCATTTAATTAATAATTTCAATTCTTAATGTTTGCATTAACAAAGGTATTTTCTGGTATTTTGAATGTTTCACCATCCTCTGTCTTTTGCTTTATATATAGATTTCCTAATAAGACGTTATACCAACATGTATTATTTCCTAATTGGTAGTTGAATCAAAATAAATTTTTATTTATTCCAACAACTAAATAAATTTTTACTAAAAAAAAGAAACAAGTAGTACTTCAATTGAGTCAATAGAGCCCCCTTTATAGCTAAACATATATATATATATATATATATATATATATATCAAGCATCCGCTGGTTTCAAGGGAAGGGGTTCCCTTGATGTTCATAATGCTCCAAATCCAAGTTCCTTCCCTGCCAGAGGCGGAGCCACAGTGGGGATTGCCTATCTTGAAACTTGATGTGGTGTTCACAGCCATCCTTTCAGTCAATAGGCTGGGTGGGAAGCTATCTCTGCCGATTTTCGCTAGGCTGGTCATGGCTGAAGACAACTTCAAATCAAACCAGGGCCGTTTTATTTGGGGAGAGCAAGCAGGCCAGTTTGCTTGGTGGCCTTCTTGTGGATATGCTATACCTGTTCAATCTTCCGGTTGCCAACTTCTTATCCTCTTAGATGGAAAACTTTCAACTATGCACCAATTGCTCTCAATGTTGCTTTGGCACTGATAATGCTTTGGTTTTGGATGCAAGCAAATGGTACGAGGGACCTGTAAGAAACATCGATGCACAAAACGGAAACCATTAGAAAAATGAAAAGCTATACATATTATGTTAAAAAATTGAGAACTTCTATCTCCTTAGAATCTCCAAAAAAAATTTAAAATTTAATACAAGCATATCGTGCATGACATTTTTTCAAGCCACCCACTAAGCCAGGTAAGGTAGGAGTTGTGCCACAAAAGTTCCAACCGCTATAACCACCCGCTATATATGCGTGTGCACATGCCACACTCAAGCCTCGCTTATGCTTGCACTAGCTGCCTGCCTAGTGCCATGCCATGCCTACGGCATGTCTTTGTCTAGCCTTGTCTTGGTACATGGGCGTGCATCCTGTTGGAAATTTAATATTAACTAATATTAATTTTCCTATTTGAATGAAAATTAATAAAATTCATTGGATTGAAGACATGACCCTTGGGTTAAAGACATCTTCAATTGGGGGGTGACAACTCTTCAAACCAAGGGATGCATTGTTTGGGGTGACAACTCTTTAGATCAAGGGATGCATTGTTTTCCTTTTCAGATTGGGATACCTTTTGGAAAATGTATTTCATTATCTATAAATAGAGCAATCATCCTGCAGTTTTATTCATTCAATTAATTCTCTACATACAGATTTCCATATATAGAGAGCATTATAGTTTTTCATAAAGAGAGGCTCCTGCATAATTTGGTTCAAAGTTCCTTGTGAATTGTAATGCTTCTTTCGTAAGGAGAGGAGTCGCTGTATCCTGGGAGGCGAATGCTAGTGAACCATAAGCACCAATGTGGGGCGTAATTCGTCTTAAGGTCAGAGCGTCCAACACTTGTCTCGACTTAATTATTCAGGTTCTTCTAATCCATATTATGTGATTTTTTTGTTGTGTATGTTTGTAAGCATACATTAATTTTTTAAGCATGAATTGAATGATTATTTCTGAATTTTTGTGTAAAATATAGCAATTATACCCATTTTTTCCAACACATCCATCACAAGTGTAACCCATAGAGAAGAAATTATAGAGTGGTATTGTATACTGCATCTTGGCTTATCCAACGTTTCTGGGCCTAACAGTAGACCAATTAACTCTAATTAT